TAAATACACAAATCAAAATAATATACATCTCCTCCATAAAGTACCATGTTAAGTTTTTAGTGATATAAAGACACAAAGATTTATTGCTTGCCAAAAGACACACGCACACATTAAATTTCTAGTTAATTGAAAAATATTTTACATGATCAACATATAAAAAAAATGTATATTTAATGAATGAACAAATGCAACAAACCCTCTAAAGAAACCGGTCAAGTGTGAGTCAAAAGTTCACGTTAGTTGTATGGGAGCCCCATTAAATATTCAGCACGGACGGAGATCGAATTCATAGTAAGAGGGAGCCCTAAAAAGGTCCCAGTGGTGGACTACTCATTGATCCTTACTGAGAAACTCATTGTCACCAAGAACTGACCCTTAATAAATCGTTAGCCCGACATCTAATTCAATATAAACATTTACGAAAAATATTGATTAAACTTACCTCTTTTTTTTAATATGTATATTACAGATTAGTATGTCTTATTGGCGTCATTTAAAAACTATTTGAACATCAGATAAGATCAGGCTTTGTTTCTTGCAATCTCCATAAAATTAGATTGCTGGAATAGAGATTGGACTCAGTGAGTTATAAAGTTCAATTTGCACTTCAATTGGCGAGTTCGGTTCTTTTTACTGTTCAAACGGCAATAAGAACTTAACCGAAAAACTGATATCAACTTTCACACCTCGTCAGTATCCGCAAGACCTGCTGCCGCCCGCACACAAATTCATATGAACAAGAAACCTTGCAGTCGTGTCTATAGTATAAGACACGCTTCTATCTTCTCTTCTCTTTTCTTGAAAGAAGAAGATTTTTGGGATTTAGAATGGGTACCACATGGTTATTTGAAATCCTTTAGGAGGCACTCCTGAGAAATTTCTTAAAGTAAAATTTAAAGTAAGAAAAAAATAATCTGCATTATCATAGACTCTATGGGTAAGATATCAGATTCTAGATTTAAAATTTAAAAAAAAATCAGTCAGGATTATTTATTTTCGAAGATGAACTATGTCTGATTATCAAAAAAATCAAGTTTCCGTAGCTTCACCCGGCTTCATTTTGGTCTTTGAAAACCACAATTTAAAATTGATGTTGCCGGATTTTCCTCAGTCTTCCACAAGTCCTGCAAGGTCTGTCATTAGGACAGATTATCGGCAAGACACTTTATTGCTCAAAAATCATACGATAAATATGCACTCTACTTGTTGAAATATAAATCGGGCATTTATACTTTAATAAGGTTTTAAAATTTTGTTGTGTCAGCTTTATTTTATTTTCTGTCTATGACCAAAGACTCTACAGTAGAAATAGAAATTGAAGAAATTATACATCTACTTTTTAATATAAACTGTTTAATACTCTATCATATTATACCGGAGTGAAAAGTAAAGTACATATAATAAACACACGACGCTAAAAACCCGTTCTACCTGACTCGGTTTCTAGTAAAAATACCTCTTATAATGCGTCATTTTAGTCCCCTAAGAATTAACTATTTTTAATAAGTATATTATTAATATTTTACCTAAAAACTTTGAAAGTTTCTCCAGAAAATATGTAAAGCAGTTACGTCGTTATTATTATGAAGTGAACTACGAACTTCAAATTACATTCTAACAGAAACTAATAAATATCCAATACTTATTTGAAAATCGAAGAAGTTTTATCGTGTTAATATTTCTTACAAACTTCATAGAACTAAAATTGATTCGACGAAAACCCTTTCCAAAGAAATAAAAGTTTTTCCAATTGACGTAGGACAATGACAGTCATAGTGAATTATTAGAAAGTATGTAATTTTATAAGAAACTGCTGCAGTGTTAAAATATATTTTTGAATTTTATCATTCCTAAAGTCATTTTATAATGAAACTGCTGCAAAATAATAAAATACATTTTGAAGTTTGCAATACCTAGTTTCTTAAAATTTGTCTAAGACAGAATAGGTATGATTATTGGGTTAAAAAAATAGATTGTAGTTGTCCGTCATTAATGTAATGTAATATAAAAAATTAGATACGTATTTTTTTTACTTCAATTTAACAAGAAATGGCTTAGATAACAGGCATTAAAGTTGAGGAGTGGGGGCTCGCTGCGTCACACTTTTGTAGAAAATGTACAAAAGCGTGACGTCATGTGATATTTCAACTCGATGTATAGCCGTAATTTTACGATTACACAAAAATAAATAGATACGTGTTTAATATTTTTTCAACAATCTACCTGAAAGACAAACAAAAAATTTTATGGTCATCCCTATTCAAACATTATTGCCATGACTTAGGTGGCTAGGCTAGCTCAAAAAGTTAAGTCATATTTTTTTATACTTTCATTATTATAAACAGTGAAATAAACTATAGAATTACATTTTTACTACCGTGATGATAATCATCACCTGCTTATCAATGTACACGCTGGTGGGGCACCGGCCTTCTCTAAAAATAAAACGCCACGATCCGGATTGGTGGATATTAACAACGAGCTCCGTGAAGCGCGCAGCTTGAAGAAGCTCGAGTTAGTCAATTTCGGTCACCCATCCGATGACTAACCTTTGCGAAAGTAGCTTGTCTTACACAACCGCTGACCGAACACATTATTCAGTGCACCATCAAGAACTAAATACTAATATATGTTGAGATATTTCTAATTAGATGGCTCGGTTATTTATGAGCCGGTCAGTAGTCAAACTTTCGTGTTCTCGGACATCAACGATGAAGTACTGAATTATAGCATGTCATTAATGTGAAAAGCGCGTGCGGCAACTTGCTGACGTTAATCTCATTATGAATGTATATTTGAATCTATTATGAGGTCATTGATCGCAATGTGTGAACTGTACATTTCGATCGTGTGACCGGTACCGTGATATGTGTAAACAATAGTCAAAATATACAAAAAAGGTTTATTGCCATGGTTATATATCTTTACAATCGAAAAGGATGCGGGTACATTTTAAAATATAATTGGGAATTCTCATCATAAAGCTACACACATTGTTTATGATGTCACTAAATTGCTCGTCGTCACTTGCACATCTCAACTTTTCGTCAACATAACAAGATTATTATTTTGAAAAGATAGTTCATTGACTCAAAATACCTAACTGAGAGTACGGCATCATTTAAAAAGGTCGCTGGTGCATAAAAACGCATTTATTTCGTCGGTTACCGATGAGAAAATTTGAATTTGGAACAGACAAGAATACGTTGCTAACAAAAATTAAATAAAACGTTTTGAAACGTAGGTACTGACTGCTAATACCATAAATACAAAAGTGTGTTTTGAAATATGTATTTATAAAAAAAAGCGTTAATTTTGGGATAATATTTTGCCAAGTACAAAACTAATAAGTTAACTATACTAAAACTTATTGCTAGACAGTTAAAAAATCTCCTGCATGTGTCTCTTACTGCGCTAATGACTCTACAATAGATTTTTCGTGTTTTAGAACAAAATAGCGCCAACAACTTTTGTATATTAAGCAAATTTGCTTTTTGATTCAACTTTTGGCTAAAGTTTCGAAAAAATCAAAGTTTCGATGGTTAAGATAATATCAAAATTATTTTGGCTAACTCATCATTGTGTTTCATTTTCAAGTTAATTTTACTTACCAACCAAAGTACGATATTAAGAATATACGAAAGTGGAATTCATAGATTTATTATTTATACAGCAAAAAGAAACTTTCAAAGAAGTTTAATAACCATATCAACAGTAAGAAAAATAATTAAAAAAGTAAAGCATTGCAACGTAAGTCAAGATATCAAAAAGCAAATAATAACCTATAGAAACTTATCAGACCGTGAGAAACACATCAGCAATTTGTGTATTCGATAGTCGAATCAGAGATGGTATTAAATAATTATACACTTTCGCTGGATACTGTAATTTTTACCGGAGATATGCAATTCTATACCTATTATTAAAAATAATTATAGTGTTTCCTTAATCATAAAGATAAAAGAGGTTTTACTCTCACTTTCATGACAAATCAGTTGAAGCCTTCGTTTGGTTCCCACACGCTGGAAGTATAAGCTAAAATTCCTTCGCGTGCATGCATTTTGTTACAAAATGTGTTATTACTCGTTGTATGTTTAAAACAAAATTTTAAATTTAGATTGGAGATCACTATGATGGCGTAATTTTTTCTATTTTACTACTTTTATAACTTGATCATTTGTAAAGTGGTAAACTGGTCATTTGGTTCTTGCTTCATAGTTTTTTAACCTTTTACTAATGTGAATTTTATTTCATATAATTTTGTTTGTCACGAGTACTATTTTTGGTCTTTGGTTGATGATATATAAGTACCTAATTATTTGTTAGTGACTTGCTTTATGAGCGCTAACGTTGGGGTTAATAATTTTAAAAGGTCCGTATCACCTGAGTCATTATTCATTTTTGCTTTATTCTTAATTCTGTAGCGTTTGAATATCTTAGCATGTATTTTATTAGTTCCGTAGACTATTGTTCTCCATTAGAGGCGCAATCTTATTAGTTAATTAGTGTTGTTGTAAAAGTAAATCTTATCTTTTATGACCCATCTACACAAGTAACAATAAGTAACTTGAATTTAATTCATCCATGCAGTTTAGGAAAGATGCAGACATGTTTCAATGCAGAAGTAAAGTCGTTGGCATTCATTTTAATAACACAAAGGTAGTCAGTCAAGGCTGGTTACAATTAAAATATCGATTTGAAGCAAAATACAAACAAAATATTACTACAGCATTCCTTAGAGATTTAAGTATGATGAATCGATATTTCTGTTAACAAAAGAAGTATCGTTTAGTTTATAAGAAATGCGAAAGAAAGAAATGAAACTTGCTGATAATGCAAGAGTTAATAATAACGAAAAAAAAAATTTAAAAAAAAATACTGCGATTGGGCTTCAAACTTCATCTAGGTTCCATTGGTTTCGTGTGCTCATTCAGTGTTCTTTTGAGATAAACTTGATAGAACTTTTAAAAAGGTATCCACTCTAGATGAGCAGCACTCACCATTGGTGCAAAAATAGTCATCTTTATCCAAAATCTCATGCTGGAAGCCGTAAGCGGGCAGCCATGCATGTGAGCCCGGTGGATCGGGCCAATCCGATATGCGAACCTCCTCCATTTCGTCATAAACACAACACTGCACTCCACAGACTTTTCACTACGTTAGCACAAGCATGCATGGACTACCTTTTCGTTCGTCCATTAGGCTGTCATTTGGGGCGATAACGGTGTTAGATTCGGTGCGGTGACGGCTGCCGGGTCGGGGCAGGTGCACTGTGCCTTTCACCGGTCCGAAGTAAGAACGCGCGCGCGCGGCGGGGAGCGGCGGTTGACTGGCGCGCCGGGGCCTGGCGCGCGCGCTGCGGCTGCGATCTCTCCAAGTCTCGATACGATAACTCGATATCTATTCCAACAAAAAAAAAAACAGAACCATACACCATCGTCGTTGTCGCCGCGCCTCAGCTGTGCCTTCTCGTGCAGCCCCCGAACGGAAACCGTATCGGCAAACGCGAAAACTAGATTCGCTGGTTGAGAACCTGTTGTGAACGTGACTCGTGCACATTCGGAAACAATTAAACTTGCTGTACTTTTGCAGGGTTAATAACATGCAAATTTTAATAACGGCCAGAGCTATTCAGATTTTGGATTCGATACGCAGAAAGTAAGATTATTGGCTATTTTCAATCGTATTTAGCATCGAATTTCACTTGCATACGACTTTTATGATAATAGTTCTTCTCAGGTGATAGTCTGTACAGTAGTGTGAAGTAAATGTTATTTTTATTATTTATCAACGCAGTATGTAAATTTTTATTACAGTCTCTCCATATTTGGTATTTCACAGTATATAATTACTATTATACTCACGATACTTTACTAACACGTCTTACAAAACTTCGAAAGCAGAAATTAGGAGAAAGTTTGTATTCATGGCCCATAAATTGACCCCGAGTGAAGGTATAACACAATAACGTCAAATATTATGACTGGAGTTAAAAGATTGGATACGTATATAATTATTATCTCTTTAAACATTATGGATATGATAGAAATTTGGTCATAAAAAGCACCTAATTGATATTCAGGTGTAAATTCACAAACATTTTTCTATGTGATATTACTTTTTCTTTTTTTGTTTAATAGGTAATCCATTGAACTAAAAGTTTTCAAAAGCTCCAGATTTCCAAAATTGCACTAATCCTTTAATCATATCTCTACAAAAAACAGAAACGACTTCGCCGTGTAAACTCTACGCAGTGTCTACCATAATTCGAATCTAAAGTTTTGTTTAATGCAACCATTAAGTTATTCTAAAATGGTCGTACTTGTACAAAGATAGTGTTTTGTTTAATTCCCTTCGTACAAGTTGTTTTACCGTAACTTCGCCCCGTACAAATAGCCTATGTCACCCGTGTATGATGATAGTTTTCCGTATATGTAAGAATTTTTAAAATGGGTAGTTCCGGAGGCTGTTCGATACAAACAGACAATCATATCTTACATCGTTATGAAATTAGTATTAATGATCCCTGTGTAGTATTTCATTGTTATAGCCAATTTTGTTTCTCTCTTACTTTTTATGCATGAATATCAGATTTCTAATAGAAATATATTTTTCTTCACACTTTGGATAGCACAACTGTGATGTTTACGGTAAAAAAAAGACTTTACATAGAAAGTCAACTAGTAAAGGAGTGAAATCAGACTGTTGACATTATAAGAAACGCTTGAAATGTTTCCGTCCAATGCAACTCTTGCCTTTTACGTACATCTTAATTTAAAAGCTAGAATGTGTAAAAGTTAAGGGGGCGCATAGAGTTAACATCTGATTATCGTGATTAAAATGAATGAACTCTAATAAAAACCAATCTTTTTTTTTTAATTGTGTCTATTATAATGTCAAATTTATTAAGCCAAAGTAGAACTCACGAGTTCACTCGGTTGTCTCTCTGTCACAGAACTAAACTACTGAACCGACCTTTTAACGTTGGATTATTTTGACAATGTAAAAACCAATAAAATATTTCTTTCAATATTCTTTTTATGTATCTGATTTGGTGTCCAAAAGGTGCTAACTTGACATGTACTGCAAATAATTGCATATCAATTTTTCAATTAAAGTCAAAATTTATGAATATAATAGGGTTATGACTGATTATTGTTTATCATTATTATAATTATTATAAAAGAATATTTAACACTGTCTTTTTATTTTTTGCGTAATCAATAAATTACCACAATAAATTGAGTTAAAATGTCAGATGACGTCACACCTTTGTACATTTTCTACAAAGTCGTGACTTAGCAAGCCGCCACTTTAATGTCTATTATCTAAATAATTTATTTGTTAAATTAAAGTAAAAAAATACATATCTAATAATTTTCTATTGTCTGAATGACGGATTAAATAGCATTTTTTATCAAAGTCAAAGTCAAAATAATCTTTATTCAAATAGACTTCTTAAAAGTACTTTTGAATCGTCCAACATTTTTTCCCTACCACTCGTTCAGGACGTCTTTTGGCTGATAAGAAGAACGAGCAAGAAACTCACCAGCTCTAATAAGAGTAATGTCATTTAAAAAAACTTAACCACGCATAAGTCCTAATAGAGATGTAGCCAAGACCACACGAGCGATATTAAATAGTCGAGCACTCGTATCTAACTATAGTCAAGAGAAGTAAACTTGCGAAATATGACATATATATATTTACCAAATAAATAAAAATTCGAATAAAGTAAAAAAATGTTAAGTAATAGTTGGAATACCTTACTTTATTAAAATTCTCATGTATTGAATAAAAATATGCGCTTAAGTAATCACTTAGAAACAAGTAATTTCTTCAACTCGACTTTAGATTAAAAAAGATCTGTCTGTCAGTTTCAACTCTCCCGTTTACAGATTTCATTTTATTTTCTCGTCCTCTCTAGCGTATTCTTAGTCTAAAATGTGTATAAAGTTAATCTTCAAATGATTGCGTTCTTGTGTTGCGTGATCACTGTGTTTTCCATTGTTTTTGTTACAAGCGAAGTAATAAAGAATTATAATGTACGTAGTGTCGATAAACTTTGCCCTTTATAAGTTAAAAAGAGGGAAAGCAGTGAGCCGTGAGTAGCCGAGAATTTTAGAATCACGCTAATTATGTAATAACGTACTGAGCTTTATAGAGGTATTAAGTGTAAGCTCTTATTAAATTTCATTTTTCTAAAAATATAGATTACTTAAAGAATTACAGAATTCAAATGTAATTCTTAAAAACTAAATTTAATATACTTCATTTGAATTCTTAATTTGAAATCGGGTGATTAAATGTATATTCTTATAGTTATTTTAATTACTTTTTAAATATATAATTAAATCATTTTTTTAATCAACATTTGTTATGTACGAGAAGCTATAATGAGTACTTCAATGAAGCACTCATCTCAATTAACCACTTCAGTAAAATTGTGAGACTCCTCCTTTTTTGAAGTTAGTTAAATAAACACTGATGATTATTCTTACGTAGATATTAAAAAACAAGATCCTTTCTACACGATTTTCTATCTGAATGCTAGAAATTCAAAACTGCTGAACTGATTTCCATTCAGCTCTTACTAAAAATCGGAGTAATTTTTAAGGAAACTGTTCGCTCGCTACTAAGAATGAGTGTTACAAATGTAGAAATTCTTAAATCGAATTTGCATATTCGCTCCTTTCAGACAATGTCTAATAAGTATCTTATTACAGAAATCCCACGGGAACATAACAAACTCAGCTGCAAGGAACCGTGGCTGGGTTTCTCTACTGATATCATGTAAACCACAATGAGTGTTATGCGTAACGTAAATAAATATTTAATTCTTTTATTGTACCAGAATAGTAATGACATCAATGAATCACTTAGAATACGCAAACACTTTGTCATCGTAACTTATTGTTTCTGTCATCGAGCTTCTGGTGACAGGAGACAAAAACTGGCGAAAAATCACCAGTGCGTACGCAGCTTTAATAGGAGCTATACCTATTAAAGAAAATTATAACTCGTAAGAATTAACATATCACTTGAGAGCCTATTCTGTTTATCCTCGAACGAAAATTCGGAAACTTTCTATTCGTTCTTATTAATTAAAGTCATATCCATGAAGATTACCTGTGCATCAGAGACTCCGGTATTACTCCGTTGTATCATAAGTTATCGAAAAAATCATTTCTTTGGTATAAACAAAATCAGATATTTAGGTGTCATATTTTTTCGTACGAGTCGTAGATCAGTAACTAAAGAAATAATAATTTAAGCAAAGAACCCCATTTCGAATTTTCGCACAAAGAATAGAACAAAGGTCGATCGTCTTCGCTAATTCGCTTTATTTTACGGCCATGCATGAGTTTCGGGACCTTTTCAAGTTTCCTCTAGCCTAGAACTACTATAGGAATGTTTACCACAACCCGCAACGTGCGCATTCAACGAATCAACAGTTCGTCAACAAAATAGTACTAGAAATTTACTGGATCCGAGCCAATCGAAGTGGTGTCTTCAAGCAGACGTTTTATTACCATTCTATAATCACATATACATGTGACTCTAGTTTTCTTTCGATTATTTCTATTATTCGACTTTTATAAATTCAATATGTGCGTCGTGAAAACGATAAAGCACCTCTTTCTTAATTTATAGGTACAAGAAGTTTAAATACCTATATACGTAAATGTATTTACTATAGAATTAAAACCTTGACACCTATATTTCATAAATCTCTTTATACAGGCATGTATACAGGATTGTTTTTAACTAGTGAGCAATTTTTTGTGTGGTTCAATATCAGAAACAGGGCATATTTCCATAATTTCTTTAATCACATAAATTGCGTGCTTATCATTACAAGATATTTATTATTTCATTTATTTTATTTCATAATAAAATTTGGGGAAATCATAAAAATCAATTATACTTCTAAATATATACTTGATTCTAATTGGTAATAAAGTTAAAATTTGCCTTTTCTCTACCATAAGAAATATTAAAACGAAAACAAACTTTTAACTAGATTATCTTAAAGTAGAACACACTCGATCGATAATATTTTCTAAGTGGCGCTTAATCTCATATAATGTTACTTATGAAAGTTATTAGTAAACAATGTATTTCTTTGTTGAATAAATTTCTGACGGAACAAAGTAATGGCTTGGCGCCAAAACTTCCGCGCATGCGTCCCGAGTCCCGTCTCTGTCTCTGAGCTGCGCGAAACCTTTCCCCTAGTACAGAACTAAATCGTATTAAATTAAAATCTATTGCAATCCCTTTCGAAAGTTTAACGATTATGATAGCAAAATGCAACGGTTAAAGGCGCTTTCGCTTTTGAAATGAAAGGTGACTTTTTACATATATGGCACAATAACTATATCTTAATTTCTTTTAGATAAATACAAGTTACATGACATTTATTTTCAGCTGTTACTTCGTAACTTTGCATACAAAATAATGAATACTTTTCCTTTTTTTCCTTTTGTACATAATATTGAATTTCGTTTTATATTTACAGAATTTAAGAACGTCTGATCCGTGTAGTAGATTGTTCTGATTATTAAATATTTATACAATTCAATAATACAATAGTTAAACATATTGGGTAGGTATCGTTGACAGCTTTTGCTAACTGAAGATAACTAAGTATGTTATTAACAATTTACTCCTAATTTGTGTTGATTTTAAGACTTTTTACATTACATTAGGGATTAGCAAAAAAAATAATACATGTGCCGCTTGAATCAATTAGCTTTTATATATTATTTTTCAAAACGAAAGCAACAAATGACAAAATGTTTTGAATTGTAGATCCGTATCAGAAACACGGTTTTTTAGTCTATCAATTGTTTTGCTAATATCTTGCAGTTTATCAATTCAATTTTTATCTTCGTTTATTTATAGGTCAACATTTTA